TTAATATTTATTATTTTACCAATTTGCGTTTATTTGAAAAAAAATTATTTTTTACAACACTTGTGTGCATACATACGTACATATGTATGTGTATACTTTAATTATATTATCATATTTATGAAAGAAATATAATAGCATGCTGCTTCAGTGCAAATATATTTTCCAATACAAATAATGTATTATTTACTAGAAATTATGCGCCATATATTAAAAAAAAAACAGTTTTCTGCTCCGGCTGTTTTGTTTTTATCAAATTTAATAACGCTGTAATTACTGAAGCGAGAATTTCATAATTCTAATTTTGAAATCAACCGATTTTGTTGTTATATAAATATAGATAAAAAAGTTTTGCTGTCCTCTGTGCAATTATTTCAATACTATACAAAAATAATGGTAAACGATTTATGCAGTCATTCTCATAGCATATACATACATATAGTATATTTGAAGTGCACTAATCGCTTCACTTACCATGTTTATTTTTGCTTAGTGCATTCAATTTCAGTGACATTGGATCCTAAAGTCATACATATGTATATGTATACTTGTATTACTCTTTTTTCTATTCGAAATTGGTTCCTGATTTTTATAATACAAGAGTTGTATAAGATCTCAGATTTTACTAGCATAGCGGGTATCATATATGTACACGTACTATATAATATATGTATATATATAGTATATATATAACTTCAGTAGCATAAATATATACTACACATATAAATACAAAAATATAAACGAATTCCATACAACTTGGCCTTGTCTTTCAGTATATAATATGTATCTCACCAATAGACGTATTTATTAAATATAAAACGATCGAAAAACAGTTATGCAATATTTTTGCAGTTTTCAAAATTTTTTTTCGGCAAAATTAAACGTGAATATGTATGTACATATATGTATATGTATATATGTACATACGTAATTTTATTTTTTTATAAAGTAAAAAACTTTAACCAAATATTAAGTAATTAATTGCCTGCTTACATATTGAAATGCAACAAAAGGCACAAAATATAAAACAAATTCGATATACAATTCACAAAAAATTAAATAAGTGCAGAGAAAAGTAAATATTGCAAAAAATCAAACATAAATGTACAGCCATTTCGATATAGCCATTGGACAAGCATTCATGGCAAAAATATATAAAAAATTTTATATATACCAACCATACTCATTCTTGAGCATACCATACATACATACATATATTCACATGCAATGAAATACAATTGAAAAAATAATAAAAGTTATAATATTT